GAAAACACTTGGTTATGCTCACAGAACAATGCCATGCAGCCCAATGAGTGGTTGAAGAAATTAACAGAGTTTTGTTTCCATGTGGGGGCTGTCACTGACAGTCACTGCAGGAGGAGGGAACTGATGTTCACACTCTACACTGACCTTGGCACAGTCCAGTAATGTCCCCACCAGCCCTGGAATTTGCAAGCTTATAATTTAACCTCTATATTTAATTCTTTCTAGATTTATAGGAACAGATTTTCCATTGTTTATATTTATAGGTTAAACTAACTCCCAAGTTAAGAAAGTTATTCCCCATGGTGTTTAAAAAAAATAAAATAGGTCTAGAGAAATTTACTCAGGTATACAACCCATCTGAGGCCTTTTGGGTGTAAGACTCCTAAATAACAGTTTGTAAGTGGCATTCAGAAATTAGAAATTAATTTTGTGTTCAACTTAAGAACATAGTCAGGAATTATTTAAATTAAAAATGTAAATCTCCATCAACATGGTGGAATTGGAATAATGCTGTAACAACTGTAGTTAAATATAACCATCTATTGAAAGAGTAAATACATTTTGTTATACATAASAATGCATATTCATATGATTTAAATRTTTGGTGCTATTTTCTGCCTCAGCTATTGAGAGATTGCCTGTATCCACATCTTTGTAATGATGAAGGGATCATATGATGTCTCACATTTTCCTCTGTAGACTGGGAAGGGGTAGGAAAAGGCAGTGATCCAAGCAGTTCCCATCACTTCATGTCAGAAAGAGAGGAAAGAAGAATAAAAGAACACACTAAAAGGCAGCCACAACTGAGCATAACCCACAGATACCTTCTCAGAGCTCTCTCTGCATACACAGAAATGTATCTTATACAGAACATTGGCCTATGGACTCCTCAAAGGTTTCTGATTAAATAAAATAACTTAGCTACTACCTAAATAAGTAGACCACTACTTCTAGCTAGAGGAAAATCTATTCCTGTCAGGATCATCAGAGGTACCATTAGGGTTTTATCAGGTCATTTTCCCAAACTTAAGCAGATGCTGATGGAAATGCAAAGGCTCAAAAACAATATAAATTAATGTCAGGCCAGATGTGGTATCATTTCCATGGTTCAAGTGAATAACAGTGCACGTTAATTCTATACAGACCATCTGTTTGAGGATTTAAATTTTTTCTTCATTAAGTAGACGGGAGAGGAAAGAAAGTTAATATATTTTGTGCTTTTTCTTCCTCCCCTTAGCTTCCATAATCTTAAATGTTAGGGAATTTACATATCCAAGGGGGTGGGGGGGGCGTGGGGGGGTTAATTGGTGTTTGCAAGTCTGATGCAAAATTTTCAATCTCTTTCTCAGAGCAGTCATTTGAGACTGTCCTCTCCTTCCCTTATTTGCCAATAGTTTGTATCTTACCTTGAAAGAGTGCTATAGAAAGCAAAGGTCGTATCAGCAGTTAGTGTAAGTGCTAATAAATCCTTGGGAATTCATTGAGATTCACTGTTTTACACCACCTGACAATTTCCCCCATCTCTGCAGGCAGACTAATACGCAGCTCCAGGGGAATATTAATCAGGGACAGAAAACCTGGCACTCGTGGAATAGTAAAGGTGTAACCACCTCACTTGCAGGGCTGCAATCAGCTGAGAGAGGCTGGGGTCAAGCTGATCTGCCCACACTTGCTAGGGCTGTCTATTTTAAACATAAAATTACCTCTTTTCCTTCCGATTCACCATGCCTTCAACAACATCCAAGGCTATTTCCTGACCCAGAGAGCTGAATGGATTGATGGTCTGGTAATGAACACCTTGAGCAAAGATGACTGACAATAGCGGTGAAAATAAATCGACCTGGAACATTTCAGATTACCATTTAGCCCGTTGCCTAACGAGGTTCTCATTTCAGAAGAAGCTTTGGCATTGTCCCACAAATTGGTTTATTAGAGCAGCTACCGTGTTTCCGGATGCCAGAAGGACTTCCTTGCAAAGCCCACTATCTTCTTCTTCTTGCAAAGCACCCTAATCAGCCTCACTTCACCCAAGTGCCAGGAACAAGAGGCTATCATCTCATTGTGCTGTGCTAATTATCCTCATCACCAGCTCTATTGCTCTGCTAAATGGCCTTTTCTGAAGGAGCAGCGTTAAAGTGAATGTCTTTAAAGCGGGATTGGGTTCTGTGCTCTCACATTTCTCCCACAGTGGTACCCCAGACTTCACCCTCCAGCTCCGAAGCTCAGGGCTCTCGCTGGTTTTGGCAAATCATTCAAGTGTAGTTCCAGCAAACTGGACAATAATTGCACAACACTGTGTGCAGGCGAAGGAGAAAAGTGTGAATGCAAATCAAAAAGATTTGTGACCCGATCTACTGGGTCACATAGGGTCCTTCAATCATGCAGCTTGGAGCTGCTCGTTATGGACATTGAGTTTATGTCACAAGAAGATAAAATTTACATAAGAAATAAAAGCAGTGAGAAATGTCACTTTCCACATTATCTTGTGGCAGCAAGAAATATAGAACTTTTTTTCCCTGAGTTCTCATTTCCGAATGCCCTTGAGGAGTGTATTTCTGTGTTTGTGAATAAAGACTGGGGAATGTATCACAAACATGTGCAAGAGTTCCCTTTATGCTCAAAAAGGGATCTTTATGGAAACCAAATGGTCACAGAGGCACACAAATCTTATCACAGCATCGTTCATTTGCCAAGTTTTCCTTTCTGTCCATGAATACAGATGATTGGGGATTCATTAAATAAAAGTACTGTGCACACTCCATTTGGTCTTCTGCTTTTAACGAGCTGCATAAGTGACAAGCTTTCATAATAAAACAACTTGTAATTAAAGGGAAAGTACTAATACATTATTGAAATAATAAAAAAAAAATCTAATTACATGTTAATAAAGTGTGGACAAGCATCTGTGGGAATCCCCATTCAATCTAGCCCAAAAATGAGAACTAACACATCCAGGAAAGTATGGGTTTATTAGCTACCTCATGAAAGCTTTCTTAGAAATTACTAATTCCCTGTAATTATTGTAATTGAACCAATTTTTTGAAGTATTCAGCACCCATCCAGTGATAATGGAAGGCAGCAGGTGTGCCTCAAATCATGCCTAAAAATTGAGACTAAGGACCTAAATCAAAACCCAAGTTAATACAAAAACTCCTTTTGACTTTATTAAGCAGTGACAGAGCCCAGAAGTCAACATTGTCTCCCTCTGAGTGAAAATGTGGGCGAGGCTGTGGCAGCTTTTGCATTTTACAGCCTTTGTGAGGTGAGAGAAGGATATCCTACCTCAGCTTCCCTGCAGCAAATCCTGAGGCTTTGGAGAGAATATTGAATGTCTAAGCTAGAATTTTCAAATGTCTCCAAAGGAAATACCCATTAAGTTTTAGTTTAACTTAGGTCCAGACCACCTGAAAGGCTTCAGATCTGTGGCTCTTTTGTGATCAGTGTGATATTGCTGTTTTGAATGTAAACATCAGCTGCTCCCATGTCAGACTGTTTTCCTAGAACTGTTAGATCCAATTTCACCTTGACAATGATGTTAGTTAATAATTAGCCAGATAGGTAGCAATACTGAAAAATAATTTTTACCACTGGATAGACCTTGCAGTATGATACACGCTGCAGCCAAAGCTTTAATTATCACTCTTTATATTTTAAGAAACATTTCCTTTCTCTTCAGTGATTAGTTTTTCTATTCAACTCTGCCATGTATTCTACGCTCAAGAAATCAGTCACTCATAAAAAGTGTATATTTACATGCAAAAATACTCAAAGTAATTAAAAGAATTCAGGGATTTTTTTTTGTTTCAAATTGCTGGTCAACACTCATAAATTGTTCATAAAATTCTAATGGTAGTGCTGTAGAGGTACTTGTTTCCAAAATAATGATAGGAATTAGCTCTTTTTTAAAATAACTACAGTAAGACAGAAATTGCACTTGTTTCCAGGATGGTCTTCTTCAAAAGGAAACCTCTGTGAACCATTTGGGTTGTTACAGAGCTCAGCTCTCAGCCAAGGAAGACTAGGAAGGCTCTTATTTCCTTTACAAATGGATAGGATTCAGTTATGAAATGTATTAAAGAGAACCATTCCTCAGGTGAATAAAGGATTTTGACAAGCCTGTCCTGCTGGAAGGACACTCAATCACCAGAATTATCTTTAATATTATCACCCACGATGGGCTAGAGCTGCATTTCTGAAATGTCAGTTCATTTGGTAATACCTAGATGGGTAATCACAGGTACTAATTATCTTACTTTCAGAACAATTTATGCTCTCCTTTGAACATTAAGCTTCTTCACTGGATTTCTTCAATCCATCTGGTGACTGGATCCCTATTATCCGTGGGGCTACCCTTTCCATATTAGTCTGTGGGGACTGAAAGATGCAGATTCCATTAAGTTAATGGGAATCACATGGCAAACCCTCATCATTCCATTTTGAAAATGCAGTCCCACTGGCTAAGTGAAGACTAATTCTAAAAAGGGCAGAGTGACAATATAGGGATTTTCCAGTGGACAAAGTAGTTTAAAAGTTCAATAAATTAAAATATTTGCTGGAAATACTTGTTACTGGTTTTCTGGCTTCATTTCTGCAGGACTGCAATGGACCCAAATAAATCTGTAACCTGTTATTATGTAAATTGTTACCGGGGCCACTTATAGAAAAATAATATCACCCTCCTTAATGACCTCCATGCCAAATAATGACGTCAAAAAACCAGAAGCAGCACACCAGGTAAAGCACTTCATTCTTAGCAATTTGATTTCTTTTCTTTTTATGCATAAAATTGTTTACACAGCACCTATAAACAGAAGGAGGAGCCACAAGACCCACAGACAGAACCTGCTCTTCACAGAGAGTCACCCAACAAAGCTCCTTGGAGCAGGATCAGCTCTACAAGGAAAAAGTTGTGACCAACACCTTTAGTCCACTCACACCAAGCTGGTTCCTAACAGTTCCCAGAATAAACCCTACCTCCCAGGGTAGCTGAGAGCAGGAAATGTGTCCCATATTTCTTGATCAGGTTTTCTGTGATCTGCTGAAGYGTCGGGCGCCKTCCCAGTAGCCTTATGTTGCGGAARAATTCTGGGGCGAGTGGCAGTGGGGAGCCAAGGAAATTTCTTCTTTCCACAGCAAGATTGTTTACTTTCCAGCGGCCAAACTCTCTGCAAAACAAAGCAGTTCTCATTCAGAAATGTGTCATTCAGACAAATGTCCTTCATTTGCAAATGACTCTGCTCTGCTGAGTAGCTGGGGGCGACTCGCTGGGAATTACAACGGGCCTTGACAGTGGTACTCTGTCATGTGTTATAGACAGGACAAGCAACGAGGGTTATTTATTACAAGTGGAGACAGTACTCCATAATAAAATAATTGTTGGGAAAGAAATAAATAAAAACCAAGCCACTTAGGTTGCTGCTGCTCCTGTTGGTTTTGTGTGGCATCCGAGGTACACACAGCCCTAAAACAACCAGATGTGCCAGAAACTGAAATGAAAGCAATGACTTCCCCAAATTTGGACCAGATGCAACAAGTACTTTCATTAGAACAAGGTAAATTTTAAAATAATAACAAGAAAAAGTCCATGTTCTTTGCCTTTTGATGTTGTCAGTTAGGTACAGAAATTGATAATTTGAGTAATTTGGAGAAATGCTGTCACACCACAATTGACCTTACTGTGATAATTCCAATTTTCTGTACTTTCGGCTGCCATTTTGAGAAAATACACAGACAGAAAGAAAAGTGATGACTTTTCAGTTGTAGGAGGGAGATAAGTGAATTCAAAGACTTGTCCCCTTCCCCTCTCCAAAATAAATCAATGACAGCAGGGAAAGCAAACAAGCTCATTGCACAGCAATAAACACATCTTTTATTCATTTACTTGCCAATTAAGATACCAGATAGAGCTATTAGTGAGAAGGACTCATTGTCCTCAAAATCTAGACAAGACAGACAGCGTTGGCTTTTCCCAGATACAGCAATAGCTGTTTGGGTTGCAGATTTGGGGAACTAAGTCCAAGCAACCTGAGGATTCTGCTTTAGCAATSTTCATTGGGTGTTTTGTACAGCTACATCAATTAAGATTCTTCTTAGACAAGATTGTGGAAAAACAAAGAGCTGAGCAAGCTTGCAAGATCCTACT